CCCGCGCCCACTGCGCTGTCCTACAGCGCTCGGGATACGAGACCTGCAACTCAAAACAGTACATAGATGGAATTTTAAATTCTTACATTAGGTTACTCCTTGCAAAACTCCACTGACCACAAAGGATGAAAGCTGAGGGGCCTACACGCGCTCCCACGGGGCCGGACCCTGAGAGCACGGTGCTCAGGGAGACAAGCAGACACAGGACACACAGCGTGTGAGTCCACGGACGTGAGGCGTCCAGAGCAGGCCAGTCCCCAGACCCGGGGAGGGGCTCCTGGCTGTCAGGGGCTGGGGGAGGAGGGGGTGTGACTGCTCATGGGGATGGGGTTTCTTTTGAGGGCACGTTCTGGAATTGGGCAGAGGAATTGGGCACAACTCCGAATGTACTAAATGCCACTGAACCGTACACTTTAAGTGGGTGAGCTGTGTGATATGTGGTATGTGGTATGTGAATTACATCTTGATATAAAAAACACAAAAACAGATGTGGGGCAGGGACCTCCAGAGCCCAACCCCTCACTGGGGAGGCGAGTTCTAGGAACCTCTAGAAAGCTGGGGGCTCTGGATGCCACATCACTAGGGGTCTGTATTTTTCAAACATCAGGCTATCGGTCCCGCACCCGCGCAGCAAGGACCTGGGGAGTCTTACTTGAGCAGGGCCAGGAAGGCAGCGGGCTCCACGTCGGGCAGCTCGATCTCAGTGGACGTGGTGGCCATTCCCCCGTTGAACATGGCGTCGAAGACAGCGCTGCCCACGGCCAGCACGAACCTGTGTGTCATAGAAGCCCCTGGTCACCTGCCGGTGGCCCACCAGTCCCTCTTCCCCGAGCCCGGTGGGGTGGGGGCTGTCGGGGACCCCAGGGTGTGTCAGGGAGGGTCCCCGCAGCTGTGGCTCCCCTGCCAGCACCGCAGTGGACGCTGTACCCAGAGCAGCCTGCAGTGGATGATTCCGGAAGGAAGGCGCCAAGGAGCAAGAAGGCGGTGGAGGTGGGTCAACGGCTACAGAGGCCAGAGAAGCAGAAGCACTTCCCTGGGACAGAGGGCTTAGGGCTCTGCCAGCTCCCACCGCACCTGCGCTCTGGCTGGTGCCCGCTCCCCCTTCACTCCTCCCTCCCTCATTCACTCCCCCTCCCTCCCTCATTCACTCCCCCTCCTCATTCACTCATTCACACCCCCTCCCTCCCTCATTCACTCCCCCTCCCTCATTCACTCTCCCCTCCCATTCACTCCCTCCCTCACTCCCTCGCCTGCTCTGCACACAGCTCCCCTGTGCTCGGGCCAAAGCATGGGAACCCTGGCCTTGTTGCAGGGAGGCGGCCACTGGTCCAGCGCACAGACAGCCTGACAGTGGAGTAGAAAGGACGACACAGGGCCGTGACAGAGCAAGGGTCAGGGAAGGCCTGGTGGGGACATGGGAGCCGGGCTGAGTCCGCAGGGAAGGGCGTCAAGGCCAGGGGAGCGTTAGGAGGCGAGTGGCCTCACGGAGGCCACTGGGGTCTGCCCTTCATGACATGCCCACTCTGTGCTGCCCACCCAGGGTCCCCAGGGCCTGCCCCCAGACAGCGTCCCCCCAGAGGCAAAGTCGGCCTGGGGCCCAGCTCAATGGCTGCCCCTGCAAAGCCCCTGTCCTCTGGGCCTGCAAGGCCCCTGCATCACAGCCCCTCCCAGGGTCCCGACTGTGACACAGGCAGGGCTCTGAGCCACCACCCTGACTTGGAAACCTCTGGAACTGGCAGATGGGGCAGAGCCAGCCCCTCAGCCCACTTCCTGGCCTCTGCCCAGTGCTGGGGCAACCTTCCCAGCCCCCAGTGAGCAGCGCCCTCTTCTCCCCAAGAACCCTCTCTCCGCCACCTCCCACCTCCTTCTCCATGGTGGGACGTGTGCCTCCGGGCCCTGCCAGGCCCTTGTCTCGTCCCCAATCCGGCCCAGGGCTCAAAAGCACCCCGAGGGCCAGACCCAAGCCAGGGCCAGGTGGGAAACTGAGTGACATGGGGTGAGCAGTGTCCCGAGCATCACGTCCACCTGGAGTGTCACAGTGGGACTGCATTTGGAAGTCGGGTCTGTGCAGGTGACACCAGCTAGGATGAGATCGCCCTGGTCCAGGCTGGGCCCCAGCACAGTGGCTTATAAGGGAACTTTAGACCCAGGCCCAGGGAGACCGGAGCAAGGTGGCCATGAGCCCAGAATGCCCGGAGCCCCTTGAAGCTGCAAGGGGCAGGAAGGACGCTCCCCTGGGGCCCCCGGAGGGAACCTGGCCCTGCCACCCCTGGCTCTTGGACTTCGGATTCCAGAACCAAGGGGGGCCTTGGGGTCTTGCCCACCCGTCCGTCGGTGGTGCTCTGCTGCGGCCGCTGCAGGATGCTCCCCCCCGCACAGCTCGTAGCCCCACCGCATCTTCGGAGGCCGGGTCCCGGCCCAGAGCTGCGCTCCCGCATGTGCTGAACAAAGAAAGTAGCTTCCTGTCCTCCTCTCTGCCTGGATCTCACACGGCAGCTTGACCTTCTGTGGGGAAAACCTTCCCCAAAGGTTCCCTGGCAGGAAGAGTCGCCCAGCTGGGCCTGGTGTGTCTGTGTGGAGCCAGGATGCCAGATGGTCACACACCCCCAGGGCCCTCGGCGGGTGTGGTGACAGCCCCAGGACCGGCAAGGCCCGGGTCCGAGGGGCTCGTCTGATCAAACGCACGCTTCCTCCACCCACAGCCCTGCTTGCCCGGACCCTTGGCCACCAAGCCCGTCCCCGCAGGGCCTCTTCTATCCATCCTCAAAACCGTGTAAACACAGCAAGTGAAAACCACAGCAAGGCACCACCAGGACCGCCAGCCGGAGTAAGAAACACAAGCAATGGCAAGAGTCACTGGGGCTGCGGAGAAATCGGGGCCCTCGTGCACGGCTCGTGGGCACGTAAGGCACGTGGCCGCGGTGCAAGCCAGGCTGGGGCTGAACACGAGTGGCCACCTGGCCCAGAAGCGTGTGCCCAAGGGAGATGCACTCACGTCCACACAAACCCTTGCACCAGTGCTCCCGGCAGCACGGCCCACAGGTGGCCGGAGACAGAAGCAACCCAGCATCCACTGACAGACAATGGACACACACAGTGCAGTCCCTCTGTGCAAGGAATGCCGATCAGCTGCAACAGAAGGAGATGCTGATGCAGGCTACGACGTGGACGGCCCTGAGGACAAGATGCTCGGGGAGAACCAGACACACGGCGCAGATACGGCCTGATCCCACTCACAGGAGGTCCCTGGGGGAGTCACAGCCACAGAGACAGGAAGTAGACGGTGGGGCCAGGGCAGGGGAGGGGGAGTCGGTGTTTCCTGGGGACAGAGCTGCAGTTTGGGAAGATGAGAAAGTCCGGGAGACGGTGGTGGGGAGGGTCGCACAACAGTGTGAATGTGCTTAACGCCGCTGAGCTGTGCTCTTACACATGGTTCAGATGGTGCATTTATGGTCTGCGTGTTTCACCACAATTAAAAAAAATGTTTAGTTAAATACTACCCTGAAGGGGAGGAGAAGAAAAGACCAGCTACGTAGCCTTGGGAAGCAGGTTACAGGCCAGAAGAACTGCACCCAAAGTCTGTGCTTCACTCGGGAAGAGCACTCTTCACGGGTGAGGGTTACTCTACGCACTTGGTCTGCGCCACCAAGCAGAAGTGTGGAGAGTAAGAGCCGGGGCTCTCATCAAGGGAGAACAGAGTTACAAATTAGGGGAGGGGAGGGGAGGCTGGAATGAGCTCTGCAGGGCTGAATCGGAATCAGAGGACTCAGGATGATCTCACGGCTTTCAGTGGGTGCATGGATGGAAGGGTGGATGGAGAGAGACCGAAGTGAACAGGGGGATGTGTGTGTCAGTACACTTCCTCGCTCCGTCTGCTCAGACCGTCTCTAACCATCAACACCCCAGCAGCCCTGGGCACACTCAGAATGCACACCTTGGCTGCTAAATACCACCTTCCACTAAAAGGACCCAGGCTCCTTCCAGGGCTGGGGCTGGGCAGGGGAGGTGCCACAAAGAGCCTGGAGGATCTTGTGGGGCCAGGAAGTAAAGCAACGCTCCCAACACGAGGGGGAGATGCTGAAGGGAAGAGACACAGAAGCCAGCTGTTCGGACTCCCGACAGCCAGACCTGGGACCACAGGAGCAGCCAAATGACATTCCTACCAGATGGTGACCCACACAGTAACACAGACATCCACGAGCCGGTGAGGATGGAGTATGTAACTCGAGGAATGTGTTAGGGCTAAGGAACAGCTCTTCCTTTTAGAATTCCAGTTAGCAAACGCAGGAGTTACAGAAACAGGCACCATACGGCGGACGCCAGCGTAAATGACCCTCTCCAGCAAGAGCCACCAGCCCACGGTGCTGCACCAGCGCACAAAGTAGGAGGAAAGCGGGGGGTCTGTACAGTCCCAGAGTACCCTCGGGGAGGGTGACATCCAGGGAGGAACTTACCCCAAGGCCAAGACTCACGCCACCGGAGATGGGACAGAGGGACATCAGAGGCTCCTGACACAACACACGGAGAAGGACACACACCAACGTGTGACATCCAGACACACAGAGGGATGAAGGCAGAAGACAGGGAAAGCCGGAGACCGCCGGAGAGCCGAGTGCCTGCCCTCACAGCAGACAAAGCAGACAGGGAGGCGAGGAGCCTCCCTGGAGAACGGACGTTTCTTGTGAATGGAGGGTCAGGACACTGGCAACAGGTAACAACGCAAATGAACACGAAACAGGGTCCCCAGGTACACAAAGCAGAAACAGGACAAAGGGACAATCTACCCATTATCACTGGAGGTTCCGATGCCTCAGTCTCCAAAACTGACAGAACAACCTAGCACCACCGGCCGGGACACGAGCCTGA